AAACCCTGGCAAGTCCAATAAACTCAGGCAAGCCGAGTACAGCTCGGTGGGGTTATCCTTGACGCAGCACTGTGGGGCGAGAGATGTGTCTGGAATGTGCCTGCTTTGGGGGAGTGAGGGAGGAATGTCTTGGGAGGCAAGATGCCTGCAGGTGGGAGTTAGAGCCTGTCTTAATATTGGTGGAGCCCAATTTAAAAGGGACTCCTGAGGGATTGATAGTTCAGACCGGTTAGCCACATGGGCTATGTTTACACAACCTGAAATGGGGTGAGGGATGGTGTCTTAGGGCTGGTAATCAGGGAATGGTAACAAACAACCTGCAAATCTCAGTGGTTTAGTACAACAAAGGTGGGTTTTTCACTCACGTTACAGTTGCATGAGGACAGAGTGAGAGGTTTTGTTCCATTCATTCATTCAGGGGTCCCGAGCTCCTGCCATCATGTGGTGCCGCCATCTTCAACATGTGGCCTCCCAAATTATGACAGAACGGAAATAGGGAATTGAGAGGGGACAAGGGTGTGTATGGTCCTGCCTGGAAACGGCACGCATGGCTTCCGCTTAGATTCCGTTGTTCAGACCTCAATCCCATGGCATCAGTTTCACTGCAAGGACACTGGGAAGGCTTCCAAGTTCAAATTTAGTGGGTGATGTGCCAGAAGAGTCCCTAACGGTGAGCATTAGTGAGCAGGGAGAGTGGCTATCTGTCTTGTTGGAGGGAGCAGGCAGCGGTGTCTTGTCTTGGGTTGGGATGGGAGTGTGCTCTCTGAACGCACCTTGGAAAGGAAGCTAACGTGGGAAGACGGGTATGTGTGGACACGCTCATGCGCTTTGCAGAACACAACAGAATCCTTTCGTTCTTTCCCATTGTCATGGCCTTCCTCCGGATAAGACCTTAATTATCCCACACCTTACCACTGAAATAGTCTCGTGACTGCTTTCTCTTCTACGATTTTCCTTTCCCCCCGAATCTAAATCAGACATCACAGTCTCAATAATCTTCCTAAGACATGGTTTATGTCCTGCTACTCCTCTTCAATGAGGACAATAGCAACAATCTTAAGAACGGCGAAAATAACTTGTTGAATTACTGTGTTGAGGGCTCTAACTGCAGTATGTCGGTATATCTCAATTGTTGTAACAAGCCTACTAAGCATCATCATCCTCCCCGTTATACGAGCAGAGCAACAGGGCTCCCGAGAGCTTCCTGGGCTATCGCAGTAGCCACTAGCCACCTGTGGCTATTTAAATTTAAAATTAAAAACAATTAAACACTCAGCTCCTCAGTCACACTAGCCACATACCAAGTACTCAATAGCCACATGTGTGTAGTAGCTACCATTTTGAAGAGCAGAGACATAGAGTATTTTCGTGGCAGAAAGTTAGAAAGTTCTGTTGAGTTATGGGAACTTGCCTAGGGTCACACTTTAAGTGGTGACCCCATCTGAGTATGAAATCTCTCAACAGCTCCATATTACCTCTACAATCAAGAGGAAGGTTCAGGGGCCTCTGGGTGGCTCAGTCTGCCTTGGCTCAGGTCATGATCTCAGGGTCCTGGGATCAAGCCCCGCATTGGGCTCCCTGCTCGTCAGGGAGTCTGCTTCTCCCTCTGTCTCTCCCCCCACCCCAACTCTGAGTTGTGCTCTCTCTCGCTCTCTCTCTCTCTCTTAAATAAAATCTTAAAAGAAGAAGGTTCAGCCTGCTTTTAACCTTTCTGTGACCTGGGCCAGCTACAGTTAGATAATTTTTTTCTCATTAATTTCTTGTACGATCTCATACTTCGGAGCGACATGCTCACTACTCTCCAACACTCCCACTATGTCCACTCAGAATATTTTCACCCTCCTCATTTCTGTCTGCCCAGATAACGAATTCCTAAATGACCTTTAAGGTTCAAATAGCTTCAATATCTGTCAAATCAGTTCCCACTTTTCCCTTCTCACTCTTTCAGCCAGAACCACCTTTCAGCTTCCCCTCATCTCTTGCCAGGGCCTCTGTACTGCACTGCTATAGCTAATCATAGTTACTGAGCACCTACTATGTGCTAGGCACTCTTCTAATCACCGAGTCCTCGTCACAACACTGGAAGTAGATGTCCCTGCTGTCCCCATTTTGCAGATGAGGTCACTAAGGCACAGCGAGGGGATGGACTTGTCCCAATGAGCTCTCCGCTTCCAGTCTTTGCACAGGCAGCTGGTCCTCATGCTATTACCCTGGCCACATTTCTAGAACACGGAGCTCTTACTTCCCTCCCCCAGCAGAGCACAAAGGCCCTTTATGTTCATAATATTTCTAACTTCAAAACCCACCACTCCACCCACAGACCACAAACTATTTACAGTTTCCCCAAATCTGCCATGTTATTTCTTCCCTCCGGGCCACACACATGCTGTTCCCACCGCCTGGAGTGTTACCCAGCCAGCCAGGGCTGAAGCCATCCATGGCAGTGTACTCTGGACCATGGGGCTCGCTCTCTTCTCTGACTGCATCACTGGCTCCCAAAGAAGGGCTGAGTGCTGAGCTTACCACATGAAAATTACTTCTTATTAAAAAATACACTTCCAGGGCGCCTGGGTGGCTCAGTCGTTAAGCGTCTGCCTTCAGCTCAGGTCATGATCCCAGGGTCCTGGGATCCAGCCCTGTGTCAGGCTCCCTGCTCAGCGGGGAGCCTGCTTCTCCCTCTCCCTCTGCCTTTAGCTCCCCCTGCTTGTGCTTTCTCTCTCTCTGCCAAATAAATAAATAAAATCTCTAAAAAAATAAAAAATACACTTCCCAAGATTCAAATTTAATAAGCCATGGATGGATGGGAGTCTGTTTTTTTGTTTGTTTGTTTTTGTTTTTGTCTTGATTGAGCTTTTATTTATTTTTTATTATGTTATGTTAATCACCATACATTACATCATTAGTTTTTGATGTAACATTCCATGATTCATTGTTTGCCTCTAACACCCAGTGCTCCATGCAGTACGTGCCCTCTTTAATTTTTTAAGAAGCTCCCAGACTATTCTTAAGTGAGGCAAGTGTGGTTTACACTGGTTTATATCACTCCCTGGGCAATTCATCATGTCCTGCCTGGACTTCTTATGATGATCACCTTTATTATTATTTAATGCTTACCTCATTCACTGCCTTTACCTATTCAACAATGTTCATTAAGGGGCTACTAGGTGCCAGGCACTCTTCTAGGTGTTCGTGTGAATGAAAGTGGCACAGTCCTTATTCATAGAGTTTACATTCTGGAAGGTTGTGGTAGGCAGAATAATGCATCCCTAAGATGTCCACGTCCTAATCTCCAAAATTTGTGAATATGTTACTTTACATGGCAAAGGAGATTTTGCTGATGCGATTAAGGTAAGGAAGTGGAAAAATTAGCTTGGATTATCCAGGTTCTTTTTTTTTTTAAGATTTTATTTATTTATTTATTTATTTATTTATTTATTTATTTATTTGAGAGAGAGAGAGAGCACTTAGGCGGGAGAGGCAGGGAGAGAGGATCTCAAGCCCAGAGCCCCATTCGGGGCTTAATCTCAAGACCCTGACCTGAGATCATGACCTGAGCCGAAACCAAGAGTCGGACGCTTAACTGACTGAGCCACCCAGGTGCCCCAGATTATCCAGGTTCTTAGTCACAGTGTCCTTATGAGGGAAGAGGGAGGCTGCAGAGTCATCAGTGGACATGTGACAACAGTAGCAGAGATCAGAGTAATGTGATTGTTAGCTTTGAAGATGAAGGGAGAGGGCCATGAGTCAAGGAATGTGGGTGGTTATAGAAGCTGGAAAAGGCAAGGAAGCAGATTTCTCCCCTCCAGCCTCCAGAAGCAGGGCAGGCCTGCCATCGCCTTGATTTTAGCCCAGTGAGACCCACTGTTGCACTCCTGACCTGCAGAACTGTGGGAGAATAAGTATTTGTTGCTTTAAGCTGTTAGATTTGTGGTGATTTGTTATAGCAGCAAAAGGAAACTAATAGCCAAGGGCACCTGAGTGGCTCCGTGAATTAAGCATCTGCCTTTGGCTCAGGTCATGACCCTAGGGTCCTGGGACAGAGCCCTGCATCAGGCTCCCTGCTCAGCTGGAGTCGGTTCTCCTTCTCTCCTCTCTCTCTCTCTCTGTCAAATAATAAATAAATCTTTTTTTTTTTTTTTTTAAGGATACTAATAGGGATACTGGCTACTTATTTTGTGCAGGGATGTGATGGGCCTCCCCGACTAGATTATCTGTGCTTCAGGGCTCTGTGTTAAGTTTGGTTTTCCCTCCCAGGGAAAGCCGGGCTCACAGTGGAAGCTCAACATACTCCTGCTATAGATTCTGAGAGTCGGGGTGATGTTTGCTAGGGATTTTGGGTGGGGGGATGAAGCTTTTGGGGATGAAAGGAAGGGGAAGCTGTCAGCGTGGGTGAAATGTTTGAGGTTATGAGGTGATGGTCACAGTGCCGGGGTTCTCAAACCTTGGTGTGAAGAATCTTCTGAGATGCGCATAACGTCTGGGGGAGGGCATCTGGTTCATAGGGACAGGGTGGAGGGAATCTATTCACTGTGTACTTGAATGTTTCTCAACTTTTATATCTTAATTTTAACGAGAAATTTAAATTTTAAGCGAGAATTTTATTCAGAGAGAAAAATGTTAAGTCTTGGCCGCAGCTGGCTTGTGTGCCTGTAGATTGCCGGGCCCCGCCCACCCCGAATATCCCGACAGGGTAATGAGGATGAGCCCCCGAACGTTCCTTTTTTTTTTTTTTTTTTTTTTACCAGGCACCCCCAGACGCCCCGCGGCCCCAGGCCCTCACTTGGCGAAGCTCCGGCCGCGCGGCGCGGTTCCGGGCGCGGGCGGCCTCCGGCCGGGGAGGGCGCTGTGCCGGAGGCGCGGGGGGCGGGCCGGGGGCGGAGCGCGGGGCGGCAGTCGGCTCCCGGCTCCCGGCTCCCGGCTCCCGGCTCGCCGCCCCGGCCCCGGCCCTGCACCTGTGACTGTCGCGGCGCTCGCCCTCCCCGCCCGGCGCCCGCAGCCCCATGGCCCCGTCCCGCCTGCAGCTCGGCCTCCGCGCCGCCTACTCGGGCCTCAGCTCCGCTGCCGGCTTCTCCATCTTCCTCGTCTGGACCGTGGTGTACAGACAGCCGGGGACGGCGGCCATGGGGGGGCTCGCAGGTACCCCGGGCGCGCGGGGGCCGGGGGTGGGGGGGGCGCAGGGTCCCGGCTGCGGGCGCGCGGCGGCGGGAGGCGCTGTCTGCTGCTCCGGGAGGCTCCTCGCGGGCGGCGCTTCCCCGGGGACCGGGGCGGGAGAGGCTGTTTACCCAAAACCGTCCGTGGGCAGCGCAGGCCCCGCGAGGGCCCGGGCGCCTGCGGGAGCCGATGCCCCCCCCCCCGCCCGCCGCCTCTGCAGTTGGCACCCTCTTGCCGCGCCGCCGGCCCAGCCGCCCGGTGACAGCGTCCTCGCTGCGCGCCCGCTTGCCTGCCACCCTCCGTTCGACCCCCAAACGCGCGCGCGCTTCTGCCCGGGGACCTCCGCTCCTCAAGCGCCCCTTCCCTGGGGCCTGGGTGAGGCAGAGGAGGAGTAAGTGGAAAGGAGGGCGGGGGGGGTTCCTCAGGGAACCCGTCTCCTCCCGCCAGGGCGGACCCCACCCCCCGCAGAGTCCTCAGCCGAACCCGGGGGACCGCGCTAGGGATCTGACGGAAACTGGACATTTTCTTCCTACCGCGTCCGTGTCTCTTTGCCACCCCTCCGCTGTGGCTCCTCTGCCAAGGTCTGCAGAAGCCTGTGCTGGGTGCCTTTTCTGTGCTTTAAAGAGCAGAGGGGAGCCAAGTGCTAGAGGGCGAGCGTCAGGGTGCTGGGAGGCTGGATCCGCACCAGTGCTGTGTCTTCCCTGTGCACCTGCGGACACCCGATGAACCTCTCTGTGTTGTAGCATTGGTGTGAAGACAAAACATATTCTTCCTACTCGCTAACACTTTTTTCTAATACTTTCTGTGTGTCAGTCACCGTGTTGAGCGGCGTTTCCATCATCTTGTTTCATCTCTACATTAGTCCTATGGAGTGGGCATTATTATTGTGTCCATTTCACAGATAAGGCTTGAACTGAGACTTAGAGTAAGTAAGTAGCTTGCCCAGGGTTACACAGCTACACGAAACACTGTGTGTGGAAAAAGAACTTTGGAGAAAAAATACATGTAAGGATATTACTTTTACATATGGTGATCACATTCCATTCCTAAAATCCTCTACCCGAGAGTCCTAAATGTACTCACTGAAAGTAACTAGATTTAGTCATTGCCACCAAGCCTACTAAGTGCCATCCCTGGGCAGAGAAGGAACGGGGGGGGGGGTAGGTTCTGCCTTAATCGAGGGGCATACAGAGTGACAGCCTGAGCAAGGCCAAACAGAGCCCTCTGGGAAGCCCCCTGGCTGGGATGCTCTCATGCCTGCCTAGATGCCCCCCTCCCCCACCTGTGGGTTCCCGTCCTCCCTGGAGGCAGCCAGCCCAGCATTGCTTAGTTCTCTACAGACCCCTGGCTCCCCCTCTGCACCCCCACCAGCTGCTCTGTTCCTCAAGGTTCTCTCCTTGCAGTTTTGTGTGTTTGTTCCTGGGAAGGAGGTGTCGTCAGGCCTGTGGCTGAGTGACGCCTGAGGTGAAGGGACTGGTCGTGTGGAGGAGGGAGGGGGAGTCCATCCCTGGGATCTGAGCTGGTGTTGTTAGAGTCTGGTCCTGGGGAGCTGAGCCCGGTGAAGCTGAGCTGAGCCGATGCCTCCTGGACCTGTTTCCTCATCTGTAAGGAGTGGGAAGAGATACCACTGAAAGGGGTGATCTTGGACACCCCCTCCCGGTTGGCAGTAGGACAGCTTAGAAGGCTCCACAGCATTCATCCCACAGTCTTAGGAGGCCGTGGAAAAGTCACCATACCTCGAGCTCCAGGGAGTGTGGGCTTTCCCTCTGACCCAAACCCTGCCCTCTCTCCCTCCTTGAATGCTTCCCTCAGCCTCCGAGTCAGGCCAGCTGTGGAGTCGCCTGCAGGGAGGGGTGCAAGGGCAGCAAGCAGCTGCAGGAGGGCCTGGCGCCTCCCTGACAGTCTGGCCTTGCAGACAACCAGGAGGTGGCAATGGACAGGCAAAGCCGCTTGGTAATGGTGGTGCCAGGGGCGGGCGGGCGGAGGGCTGGCCAGGTCAGAGCCACCAGCCCTCTCCACCCCGAGTGTGTTCTGAGAAAGTCTGTAGTCAGTCGGCCTCCTTCCTTTTTGGGGGGTAAAGCATCAGCAGATTTACTGACTTGTGAGCACTCCACTTCTGACTCAGCATTTTCTAGCCCAGAAACTGCTGAGTCACCAGCATGCTCCTTCTCCCCTGCATACCAGGCAGGGGCTGATGGGGGTGCTGGTTTCTGAGGCAGGGCTAGCCCCCAGGGGCCCCTGGGCCCGGCGGGAAGCCTGTTCATGGGCGGAGACCCACTGTCTCCCATCCTGATGGGTGTCTGGGAAGAAGCAGCTTGGAGGAAAAGCCGTTGCAGAGAAAATGGTTTTGCTGGGGGAATCCTGGGGAAAACAGAGACTCTTGTTCCGGGTCTAGTAGACCAAGAAAAGGTGAAAAGAATGGAAAAGTTGCCCCAGGAGTCTAAATGGCTTTGTGTTCTTCTTTTCCCCAGGGCTGGTATAGAGGGTAGGGGTGCACTGGCCCAGGGTCCCACTTGTCTGAGTTTCTCTGTGGGCTCCTCTGGCCTCCTCCCGGCTCCTCACCTCCAACCCAGACCCTAGTGATACCCTCACTGACCAACTCCGACCCTTCCTTGCCCTTGGTTTGTCAGCTGCGAGCCCCCAGGGGAGCAGGGGCTCTGCTCGTTGAAGCGGTGGGGTGGGGTGGGGGGTGAGGGTGAGCACGCAGCCGGGTGGGCCTGGGGAACTGACCATCCTGCCCTGAATTGTACAGACCAGGCTTCCTAGAGTCCAGAGTGTCCTCAGGAAGAGAGCAAAGCTGAGGGACAATTGCTTCCTGCTTGAGGTGTGGGAGGGGACCAGTCAGGGCTCCTGCTCATTCACTGACCACCTTGGGGGAGCTCCCTGTTCCAAGGACAGCGGTGGGAGCCTGGGTGGGTAGGAATGGGCCCGCTTCCAGAAGTGGCTTGTTTTATCTGGAGGCAAGGCCTGTGCGCAGCGGGAAGTGAGAGGTGTTAAGGTTGTGCCTGCTTATTAACAAAGAACTAGTACATGGGACACTCAAAATGGCCTTTTTCCTTTTCGGTACGTGGGTGTATGGCAGGGGCGGCGGCGGGGAGTTGTCTGGGGGCCCTCCTGCAGCACACCCAGTGGACTAACACACGGCATTTCCACAGGCCCCTATTTCAGCATTTCCTAACCCAGAAATTGCTGAGTCACAGAGGAATTACTCTGACCTTATTTTTCTCTTGAGCTGGCTCCAGGGTCTTTGAGTGGTGATGGATCTTAGAGCTCATCTCCTCCAGCAACCCCCCCCACCCCCATGGCGTACTGAGGAGACAGAGGGCAGGTGGAGCTGTCCCGGACAGATGCCCATCTGACCGTTCCTTGGATGCGCTCAGTAACAATACGCCTTCTTCCTAAGGACCCACACACATCCCCAGACGAACACTTAGGATGCATGTGAGAGGTTTGGGAAATGCTTCTGGCACATGCTGCAGATCGTGTGAGATGTCAGCGGAAAAGCCATGAGATTATCATTCTGTCCACCTCTGGCCTGCTCCAGCTTCCTGTCTGGGCGGGGATGGAGAGACGCTTGTTCTGGCTTACCCTGATCTCAGGGGTGGAGGGACCCATGTTCCAGGCCCCAGAGCCCCGCAGAAGGTTACGGTGGGGAGGGGCAGAGCTGGGAGAGCGGGGGTCAAACAGGGTGGGACGGGAGGCTGGGGGGGAAGTGTTGGCTGCCAGGGCTGAGCCCTCACTAGGGAGGAACCCTGGGGTGGCCAAGTTTCCGGGCTGGCAGGACCTTTGGGCTCACTCGTTTCTAGACGTGGAAACACCAAGGCTCTGCGAGGTCACGGGCAGCACAGCAGTGCCAGGCCCCAGACTTCCTGGCTCACAGTCCCGTGGCTTTGCGTCCCGTGCCAGGCTGCCCGGAGTTGTGACAACTGCTGAGCTGACAACCAGAGCATAGTTCTGTGACAATGCCCCCCCCCCCACCGCCGCCACCAGCCTCTTCTCCCCTCCTAACTTAAAAAAAAAGAGAGAGAGAAATATCTTGGGCATATAAAAAAGGATAGATGATTTCATGAACTCCCTTATACTTAGCACCCAGCCTAAGAAATAAAAATACCACAGAGCCAGTCAAAGCACGCTGCCTCCCCCAATCTCCCGTCCACTTCCCTTCCTTCTCTCCCTCGCTCAAGATAACCACTCTCCCCGACCAGATGCCCGCCCTCCCTAAGCACAGATGCTCCCCTGCGTGTAGTGTGTGCGGCGGCCTGCTGGAAACGTCCCCCGACTCCTAGGACCCAGCAGCCTAGGAGTCGCCTGGTCGTGTGTGTCGCCCCCACACACGGACAGAACTCGCAGCCGGCTCTGCCTCTTTCGTCTGTCCTTCCTTGCCGGGACCCCGTGGCCCTGCTCCAGACCCTTGCCAGTGGGACTGATAATTGTTCCACTTCCAGGGCTGCGCCGGCAGGCACGGCCTGGCACAGAGAGCACTGACTGTGTCGGCCGAGTGGTAGCTGACTTCCAGGGGAAGTGCCCAGCCAGGCCTGGAGGGCAGGCCCTGCAGAGGCTGGGGGCATCTGGCCTGCCCTCTCAGCAAGCTATCGGGAGTCACATGGAGTCTGGTCAGGAGCAAGACGGCCATGTGCGTGCTGGGTGGCCTTGGGCGGGGGGGGGGGGGGGTCTCACTGCTGGGCGTCTTCACTCCGCAAGAGCAATCCACGGAGTTCTGGAAGGGCCCCGCCGGCCTAGAGCTCAGCCACAGGCCTCTGAGGGCCAGGTGGAGCTGGAGCGTCAGCCCCCCACCCCCGCCCCAGGTGGTCGCAGGTCCCGGAAAGCAGGCCAGACTGCAGGATTCCCAAACCTTCCGATGTCAGGACTTCTTCACACGCTTGCAAACTAGTGAAGCCCCAAGGAAGTCTTGCGTACGTGGGTTATAGATCTCGAGCTGTACCACACTAGAAATTAAGACTGAGAACATTTCAAGCATTTCATTTTTTTAATCTAAAAATATCGATTGTTGTTTATTGTCATCAAATATCCAGTGTCCTAATGTTTCCACTTGTTTCATAACATTTAAAAAAATCTTTTTTAATTTTTTTTTAATTTAAATTCAATTAATTAGCATATAATGTATTATTTGTTTCAGGGGTACAGGTCTGTGATTCATCAGTCTTATAGAATACCCAGTGCTCATTACAAGCATTTTAAAGTAATATTAAAAATAACACTGCATTAGCATAAATAACATGTTTGTGTAAGAAAGTCATGTTTTTTAAAACAAAAAAATGAGGGAAAAGAATGGCATGGTTTCCTATCTTTGCAAATCACTTTAACATCTGGCTTAACAGAAGACAGTAGATTCTCTTATCTGCTTTTGCATCCCAGTCCTGGTGATGCCAGAGGCCTCGCAGCCTCCAGAACATTCCACTCCACAGTCAGAGAGTAATGAAAGTGGAAGGCCAACATGATCTTAGTACTGCTATGCAGACAGCCCTGGCCTCTGGGGCCGGAGGGTCCGCGGGGTCCCCGGGCTGGAGGCCGGGGGAGTAGGAGAGGGGAGAGGCGGCTCCGTGGGCTGACGGGTCTGTCCCGGCAGGTGCGCTGGCGCTGTGGGTGCTGGTGACGCACGTGATGTACATGCAGGATTACTGGAGGACCTGGCTCAAGGGACTGCGTGGCTTCTTCTTCGTGGGCGTCCTCTTCTCGGCAGTGTCCGTCGCCGCTTTCTGCACCTTCCTTGTGCTGGCCGTCACCAGACACCAGAGTGAGGGCCGGTCAGGGAGGGAAGGGCGGGGCAGGGCCCCTGGGGGACTTAGGAGTAGACGCGGGATTCGGGTCCTGGTTCCAAAGCTTGTGTCCAAGGAGCTTGGGCAGATCACTTAACCTGCCCGTGCCCGGGTTTTCTGTGAGGAGAAAGGAGTCCCCAGCCGCCCCTCGGGTCGGAAGGGTTCAATGAAATGCGTGGGAGGTGTTGAGCGGGGTGTGCTCTGCAGGTCCTCAGCCCGGAGTGCTCTTACTGGCCCTACGGGGTTAGCCCTTCTGCCCAGCTCTGGGATGGGAGCGCCCCCTGGTGGCTACGGTCAGCAAGTAGGCAAAGGCCCTTCCTGCCCCTAAGGAGTCTAACGTTCAAAGCAAGTTGCAAGTGGCCCAGGGTAAATGTAGAAAGGCAGAGTAGATGATACAGACCTGGGACTGGCCAGCCCTGACCTTCCCTCAGCCCCAGGGCCTCCTGCTTGCAAACCCTGAATGCTCTAAAAGTGCTTATCACATTCCACCTCTCCTGGTGGGGAGGGGTGGCCCTGCACTTGTGGCATGGTGGCTGGGGTCCAGGGCAAAGCCCTCTCAAGTCACCGTGGGGTTCCTCTCCCCTGCAGGCCTCACAGACCCCAACAGCTACTACCTCTCCTGCGTCTGGAGCTTCATTTCCTTCAAGTGGGCCTTCCTGCTCAGCCTTTATGCCCACCGCTATCGGGCTGACTTCGCCGACATCAGCATCCTCAGCGATTTCTGACCCAAGGGGTGAGGCCTCTTGTACCCTGGGGGTCCTCAGGACCTGGACTCAGCCCTTTTGAGACACTGGGCAGGCCTGCCACACCCCCTGGAAACCCTGGATCTGTGGCAGAAGAAACACAGCAAGAAGACTGCGGTCTCCTAGGAAGCTGTCTTGTCCCCTTTGCGGGACACCTGGGTGCAGTGGAAAGGGGTTCTTCCTGCCATGTTGCTTCTCATCGACCTGGCTGGAGGGCAGTTTTAGACCTGTTCAGATGGATCTATTTTCTTAGCACTCAGTGAGGAATCTTCCTAAGCAGGGCCAGGGCAGTGAGTCAAGGGGTAGGGCAGTGAGCCTTGACCTCTGCCTGGGGGCACTCTCCCTCGGGCCGGGCTGAGAACCTGGGAGGTGGGGTCAGGTAAGGGATCTCTACGGGGGACCTCCCAACCGATCCCAACACCCCATCCTGTTGTCCTTTGAGGGTCAGGTAGCTTAACTCCTCAATCCCAGGGATGGCAACACTTGGCTCTCTTTTCCCAAGGCCTGGGGACCTGAGTGGAGAGGTGAGTGTCCCTCTCCTCCCCAGAGCCGGTCTCCCATGAGTGCTAGAGCCAGTCATCTCCTTCACCATACCACACACCACACACCCCGAAAGAGGGCTCCCTGAGCGAGGCCGGACGAGGTGTCTGGGGAAGGTGCCGTGCCCCCAAAAGGGCTCCGGGCAAGGGGGCAGCATGGTGCAGGCTGGAGGGAACCCCACAGATCTGTGCCTGTGCACCCGCAGCCCTGTATTTCCATCACTTCTCACACATATCACCCCTGGCCACGAGATGTCCCCCCACTCCCCTGCTCACTGCCCTTTGCCTAGAGCTTTCATCTTTTTAAATCTCCCTTCTGAAGGACAAAATCTGCTTTTCTGCCTATACATGGGCACAAGGGCTCACTAACTCGGGAGGGAAGGAGCTATTGTTACGGATATCTTTTTATGTTAGGTTGCCATTTTGCACGGTCTACCCTTTTCCCACCTGGTGTGTCCTGCCCTTCAGCTCTTTTGCCTTATCTGTGTCACTGTCACTTTAGCAGAAATACATTGGCCCTTTGTATCCCACAGCCTCTGGTGGTTTCTTGTGGGGCGGGAATCTTGCGGGGAGTGGGGAGGGGGGTGCTGTAGGAGTGGTAAGCGGGACGGGTGGTGGTGGCGGCGGGTCTCGAGGTGTCTCAGGAAGCCATCTCCTTAGCTCACCTTGTGCCCTGCAGGGCAGAGGAGGGATCACTCTCAGGGGCTGGAGGCCCTCCCCCTCTGGCCCCTCTTGGCACAGGGGAGCCCAGCAGCCTGGCTCTCAGGCCACGCCGGCCAGGGGGAGGATGCTCGGAGGCACGGCCTCAGCACCACTGGTGGCATGTAGTGTCTGTCGCCCAAGGGGCTAGGACAGATGGAAAGGGGCTGAACTTGCTTCCCTTCATAATCTCCCAGGCTGAGGGCTTGGGGCCCGGTCTGAGGGGATGAGGCTGCTCCTCCTACTGGCTGGAGAAGCCTGGCTGGCTCAGAGCTGTAAAGACAGGCGCCAGCAGCCTGGCACCTTCCTCTCCGGTGGTTGGATGAGCTTGTCCCAGCCTGCTGCCTCATGCATTGTCTCTTCTAGGCTCAGTATATGTTAAGAAGCCATGGTGCAGTCGAGCGGGAAGGGACCAGAAACAGTGTCTATTTCTGGAGCCTTTAACTGATAAACAGAGGCCCCAGGAGGTGACGTGACTTACCTGAGCTCCCAGCTGGGACTTGAACCCAGGTAGGTCTGATTCACCACTCTCTGGGGATGCCTTCTGGGTCCGCGTATCTCTATCCCCGCCCGCTCAGTGGGCCTTCTGTCTCTGGACCCAGCCCAAAGCTGCTGCCTCTTTATTACCCCAAGGTGGGGCGAGTGGGGGCCAGCTAGGGTGTGTTCAGAATGGGTTCTTCCTGCAAGGGAGCTACCCACAGAAGGGCAAGGAGCTAGAGGGGGGCTGGCCAGCAGCCCAGCCTGGTCCCTTTCTTTCCCCACATCAAATGAGACGCACGCTGTGCTGTGTGGCCGAACGCCCACCGCCCGCCCCCACGCTGCTGTCCGCCCACGGTTCACCCCGCATCCCCAGAGGCCCTTTCACAGGCACCTTTAAAGCAAATAAAACATTTATTGTTCAGATTTTTTTTCCATTTTTTTTCTTTTTTTTTTCTTTTTTACAAAAACATGCATACGTACACAGGGTATGGTGGTCCTGGGGAAGACATACACACACACACACACACACACACACACACACACGTACTCTCACACAAACACACATACTCTCTCTCTCTCTCACACACACACCCCAACACTTTCCTTCTTGGCCCCAGGCCCGGACCCCAGAAGCCTTGAAGACTTTACCAGGGCAGCCTCCCCTCCCCCATGTCTTGCGACCACTCTCCCACCCCCTTTCCCCTCAGCCAAGCTAGTCCTATGTAGGGCAGGAGTCAGAGCTGGGTGAGGGAGACCCCAGAAAGAGAGAAGTCTCACGGAGCGGGGCAGTGACTGAGGGGCCCCTGGTGGTCATGCCGTGCCGCTGAGGAGAGATGAAGAGTTTGGCACCATTGGCTTAGGAAGCACGGGACTCCCAGAGCACCTGTCTGCTCCACCAGGGCACTGAGATGGCTGACGTAGGGTGGCCTCTGGCGGGGCCAGGGACCAGATGGGAGGCCTGCTGATGGCTGCTCTCGGAAGGAGCTTTGTCTCCCTGCGCAGGGGCGGGGCGGGGCGGGGGTGGAGGGGAAGCTTCCAGAGTCATCTGAGGAAGCAGGCAAGAGGGACGGCCCCTGCCCTCAGGGATGGCAGACCCCCTGGCTCCTCCTACCCAGCGCCCTCTCCCCTACTCCAGCCCAGCCCTCAGAGCCTAGGAAGGACCACCCTGGCTGAGGCCAAGTTCACATTTCTGTGTGGAGCCTGGGGCTGTGTGCAAAGCCCAGGGTCTACAGAGCCAAGAATAGTGGTTATCGGTGGGCCCGACTGAGCTAGTCCTCCTCTGTGCAGTCCTGAGGAATGGGGGCCCAGCCAGGGGCCTGGACCCCAAAGGGGTAGACTCTGTTCTTGAGAGAGCCCTACTGAGGCCTGCCTGGCTGCCCGGCCTGCCTGCTCTCCGGGTCCTCTTTGGCCCCTATCCTAGACCCAGGGCCCTTCTCAGGCTCCTTGGGGTGACTGCAAGGGGCTGTTCTCTGGCCCCAACTACCTGCCCGAAGGCTCTCTGAAGACCCCGGGAACGGGTACTGTTGCCAGAGGTTAGAAGAGAACCAGGTCCAAAGGGCAGGGTGGGCAGGCAGATCCGTTCTGGAGCCTTAGAGATTCATAGGTTCCTCCTCCTCCACCAGCTGTTCTGAGGGCCTGGGGGAGAGACAAGGGTGGGCGCTGCTGGAGGACCTCAGGAGGCTGGGGCGGCTGGGCTGGGACCTGGGGTCCTCGAGTTGGGAGGGTCCGAGGGGTGGAGAGGCTGGGGGCCAGGGGGCAGGCATTACCGCTCTTCGGCCAGGATGCCCACGGAGAGGGACGCCAGTGCCGTCACTGCCTCCACTTCTTCTGTGTCGGCCCCGGGCACCCTGGGCACCCAGGAGTCTGGGCAGGAAGCCAGGCGCTGCATGCAGCCCCAGTATTTACCTGGGGCAAGAAGCCAACTCAGGCAGGGCTGGGGGGGAACGAGCCCCCGCACCTGCCACACCGCGCGTCCTAGACTGATTGAAGGCTGGGCCTCTCAGGCCGGGGGCCCGACAGCGGCCGGCGCAGCCTCAGTTTGGGGTCAGCATTCTCACCCCCCTCTACCCTCAACATAACACGTCCCCTCACCCGCCCCCTCTGCCCCCCCGCAGCCCTGCCAGGGTGAGCAGAGCTGATTCGCTGTGGCTACTGGGGGGCCCTAGCCGGTGCCCAAGCTATTCCCCCACCCCTGAGCCATTCCCACAGTGTGGGGGGGGTTCCTAAGAGCACCAGCGGGGTTCACTCTTCCCCCGATGGGGTCCAGCACGTAGGACAGGACAGCACGGGAGGCGGGAATGACGCGACGCAGAGCGCTGGCCCCGCCGCGCTGCTCTGTGTGGCCGTCGGCGGGTCACTCACGGCCCCGGGCTTCCACCGCCCCCACTAAGCCATGGACACGACCATCCAGCCTACTGCTGTCAGAAATAATGTCCATGGCACACGCCCAGCCCAGAGCCTGGCCCAGCGTGAAGACGCCATACAAAGTACCAGCAGCATCTCTGTTTGTTAGGCACACTTCCTCTACTGGATGTGGGGAAATCTACTTCATTCATTTTTGTATCCCTAGCATTGAACCCCTTGAACACGGGTCTTTACAGAAAGTGCTCCACAGATGCTAGGTTGCAGGGGAAAATTTAAAGTGCTTTCCAAATGTAGGGTTATTCCTTTTTTTTTTTTTTTTTTTTTAAAGTAGACTCCACGCTGGGCGTAGAGTCCAATGCAGGATTTGAACTCATGACCCTGAGGATCAAAACCTGAGCCAAAATCAACAGCTGGATGCTTAACCTTCTGAGCCACCCAGGCACCCCCAAATGTGGGGTTATTCTAAGACCAGCCCCCAAAGCAGGCAGAGCTCCCAAGATGCCTGTGGACAGAACTGAGGGTCAAGGTAGAACCAGGGCTTTTGGCAAAAGGCCTGTTGCTACTGGCCTGGCCCTGGCCTAGGGCTGCAGCCGGGGATGGGAGGCCTGTTCTGCCTTGAGGAGGCAGGTGGTCCCCACTGACTGGTGGTCCCCACTGGATCCATCTGGAGGGCTCTGAGAGTACCCATTTGCAGGGAGGGAGGCAGTCCCACCATTACCGTTGGGGTAATTCATAGGAAGCCTACTCCGGCACAGCAGCGGAGCCCCTCGCCTGGCGGGCGCTGGAAGCCACGGGGCCCAGGTTACTGAGGGCAGGAGGCCCCTGAGGTTCTCCCAAGTCTGGGGTCAGCAGGTGCCCTCTCTCCGTACTCACTGTGCACCCGGATCACGGCTTCCAAAGAGCGGATAGCATTGAGGTTGGGTTTCTGTTTCCAGCCCTCTTCTGAGAGAGGATCCACCTGTAAGAGAAAACAGCACGTCAGCTCTTGGGGACCCACAGGCCCAGCTCTCTCCCACCCCTAGGGCCCTGGCTTTCCAGGAACAAATGTGCATGTGCTTCCAGCTCTGCCTAGGGCTGGAAACACTGGTCCTAGACCTGACCTGGGGAGGGGGTACCCACTCTATCCCCCTCATTCTAGGTCTGCCACCCCGGCCCTATCTGTGAGCCCTCTGGGGGCACCCCATCTTCCTGCTTGCTGGGGCCATCCTCGGGGAGCTGGGCTTCCTGCCCTACGGATGCACAGACCGGGGGCGGGCGGCTCACCTTGTTGCCCAGAAGAGCAGCCACACAGGCCTCAGAAGCATCACAGATGGC